TTATTACGTAAATATATATACATGCATAAGTCCATTAGGTGATATCCATACATATGCGTTGATAAGTATAACTATAGTTTCTGCTAGGCTGTTCAAATTATTAGTATATGCAATGCTGACTCTGCTATGAGGGCCACTACGAGGCTATCTGAGAAAGCCCACGCTGTAAGTATGCCGTAGCCTGCTTCTCATTGACGTCTTCTGTGTTTAATTCCACAAAATTAATGAAGTGATTTGCTTTACATGATAGAACCGGGTAGCTGCTGCTGCTGCTGCTACTGTTGCTGCCGCTGTTGGGGTACAGCAGCAGCGTGCCGTGAAGGAAGAAGCGGAAACCGATCACTTTTCGGTTGTTTTTGACCGTACAAATCAATAAAATTGGATGTATCGAGTATAATTTAGTGTATTTCACAAAGAGTATGCTTATTTTGCTAGAAAAACAACGAAATGCCAGCTGCTGCTTTTTGTTTTCGTCGGCAGCAGCAGCCGCAGCAACTGTTGCAGCAGCAGCAGCAGACCAGCGGTCCCCCAGCATCGATGTGGGGAATTTCTATGAGTGGTGCTGCTTCTGGTGTGTGCTTTCCTTTCGTCTCCGTTGCATCGAATTTATTTTTTTTGTTTTAAAAATTCTAATTTTAGGTTTGCTTTAGTTAAGGCTGAAGTCTGTAGACACTTCGGCGGTGCCATTCCGCAACTGGCTCAGGTTCTCCCCTGACTGTGTTTTGATTGGGATTTATTATGTACGCTTTTCCTTATTTTTGATCATATTATATAGTAGTTTATATTTGTCTTTAATTGGAGTGAGCATAATAAATATGCTTTTGCTCTTTTTTTGGTCCTATTATTTAGTCTTGTACGAGTATTTAGGTGCTTTTGCATCTGCTTATTGGGCAGGAGAGGCACTTCTTCATTTGCTACTGCCTCCCGCCTGTATAGACGGCAACCAGCCTTAGAACATCAGCAACATCTTTAGTAACAGCAGTAAGGCAGCAGCAGCATCAGCTGCAGCGAAGCAGCAGCAAGGGCAGCAGCAAAGGCAGCAGCAAAGGCAGCAGCAAAGGCAGCAGTGGCAGGAGCTGCAAGAAGACAGCAGCATCAGCAGTCGAGCTGCATCTCCGCCATGTTTTCTGCTGCAAGACCCCCATGTAGAGGCAGGGTACGTTTCTCCGTAGGACTGCCCTTGCGTCTTCCTAGCGTCCGTTTCATGATTTCACGTCTGCCGTCGCTCCTGCTGTTTGTGCTGCTGCTGTTCTTCTTGTTTCTGGGCCCCTCTGTCTTCACTCACGGGTACGGTGGGCCCCCACATGCGCAACAGCGCAGAGAGGCTGTTATCGAAGCCCCTCCCGCTGGCACTTCCCCTAAGGGGCCCTTGGGCCCCCCGTCATCCAGGAAAGCTGCAGCAGCACGTTCGCTGCCTCCTAGTGTAGGAGCAGCAGCAGATGCTGCAACAACTGCAAAAGGAGCAGTCACAATTGCAACAGGACCAGCCGATAGCAAGCTACAACGGCTGCTGTCGTCTTCTTCTGAAGAAAGGCATTCAGTAGCCAGCGAGGTGCTCCCGAGAAACCATGCTGCTGCGGCTACTGCTCATGATGCTGCTGGTGCTGCTTCCATATTACGAAACAGCGGAGGTACTGCGGCAGGAGACAGAGCTGCTGTTGCTGCTCCCCAGGCGCAACATACTGTCTCCCCAGGAACTCCCTTAGCAACAGCACCTGCAGCAGCACCATCAGCAGCGCCGGCAACAGCTACTCCAGCAACATCGCCAGCAGCAGCAACAGAGAAACCAGCAGCAGGAACAGAAACAGCAGCTTCACCAGTTTTAGTTGTCCCCCGATCGCATCAAAGCCTCTCCTCCCATTATGCAGCAGCACCAGCAGCAGACGTACCGGGAATATCGCCGCAGAAGAGCGCTGAGTATCCTCATGGGCCGCTGTCTTCTCGGGTCCCCAGGCCGCACGCGCAGCTGAGCCGCGAGGAGCTCGCAGCAGCTGCTGCAGCTGCTGCTGCTGCTGCTGTCGCTGTTGCTGCTGTTTTAGACGAGAAGCAGGAAGGTATTGACAGCAGGGCAGCATCAGCAGCAGCATCAGCTTNAAGCATCCGTCAGTTTGCCCTTATGGGTTGTTGTTGTGGGGCTTCTGCTGCTGCTAGGAGTGGTCTTAGGTCTTTGTTCCTTTACGAGGGGAAGTGCAGAACGCAACGGCAACACAAGCACGCCTGGCGTTGATGCTGCAGCATCTGCTACCTCTCCTGCTATTGCCGCTGCTGTAAGCAGCCTCAGCAGAAGAGGGTCCACCGCATCGTGTTCAGATGGCAGCAACCGAAGCTTTCGCTTGTTTGATAGTCAGCTGTACCTAAACCCGGAATCCGCGCAGTCTGGAGCCCTTCGATACCCAAGCGTCGCCGCCCGGTCCGGCAGTACCCGGAGCTCCAGTAGCAGCAGCAGCAGCAACAGCAACAGCAACAGCAGCAGCAGCAACAGCAGTAGCAACAGCAGCAGCAGCAATAGCATCCGCAACAG